AGATACCTGTACCTGCGTGCATCATGAGAGTAATTTGAGAATTGGACCTCTATCCGTGCTCAGGGGGGATATCTTGAAATTTGATTGTTACACATGTGTAAGCAAACGCGCATATAGATTTCGTTGTCGTCCTCGGCTTAGACGAATTTGAAATACATTACAAGAATAGGCGCCACGTACGGACTTCCCTAAACCTCGGCATTGTTTCAATTTGATGTAGATTGTTTTGAACTCTCACGAGGTTATTATAGTAACTTTATTACCTAACGTTTCAGCGCTAGCGTTCCTGAAATAGAATAGAACAATCTGTGAATATCCGACCAAGCGTCTCCATAACCCTACGGAAGTTCGAGAGGCTCCACTGCACGCATTAACCTAGAGAAGGGCCACTCACTGTTATTTCGTGGAGTGACGGTGTGTGGGCCCTTTTTGAATTAGTTGTGGAGGCGTTCGGTCGGATATACACAAATTGTTTTGATCCCTTTCAGGCTCTGAGGACGGCGATATCGCCGAAACATTAGCAAATAAAGTTTCTCCAGCAACCTCGTGAGTGTTCAAAACAACCTACACATAATTACGGCAATGAATAGGTGCCCATGATTCTGAGAGATTCTGTACGGAAGAGGAGAGACGGGGGGCCGCTTATACCCAGTTGTACTGTATATGACTGTTGTTGTTGTAATTGTTGTTTGTAATTTAGTTACCGTATTGTTTAAATGTGTTGTTTTGTATTAAATTGTATTGATGTAGTTTTCTTGTTCTCGGGTGCCATTATCCAGAAGTGTAGGGCGCCGGAGTGGAGAACATCTGGAACATGAAAAGATTGCAGGATAATAGTGGTGAATATTCACAATAAACCAACGTTCCTAATATAGAAATTTCGCATTATTAGATCCAGTATGAAAGGAGTTACGACTAGAAGTACGGCTGAGGAACCTCAGAACCAGTACGGCTGATCTCAAAGGACTCAGAAAGACTGGAGACGTAACGAGATACTGCCTAGAATTGGAAAGGCTAACAAGAGATGCCTCTCCGGACGCATCGGAAGAAGAACTTTCTCGTACAAGAGCAAGAGAGCTACTAAGCCAACTAATGGACTGGCCGTTGCTACATCTACGCGGGAGCCATCGACGCCGCCCAAGGCATGAAATTCGACCATCCAGCGCTTTTCCCGTGGCTCGTTAAATATAATATGGCAGGTCACATCAGGGACGTTAGCTATATTGAAGCACGCAAAACTTCCAGGAACGTCCGCGGCCGTCGGTCAACCAGACAGTATTTCTGGCGTTACCACCAGGATTCGCGAAGGTACACAAGGAAGTCGACTTCGAAGACGCATTAACCGTATAGGTCTATGAAAACTGGGAGTTCCCAGAAGCTACTGGATGTCGATATATTTACTGCAACAATCGTAGTATGGCCTGACACGATGCGACTGGAAGATCCATGAGGCAACTGTTATTTGCCCTGGAAAGACATCTATAGCAGGGTGGAACACTTCTGTTCTTCTCGAGTCCGTACCAGGATAACAACCAGCAGGAATGGACTGGTATCCGAAAAGTGTGCGCGGAATTCGTACGGTTCATGACCACACCGGAACGAGGATTCGAGGCCGTAGCTACACGGAATTCCTGGAAACCGTCCCGTATACCCACCCTGCGGTCAGCCTCGGAATGGACCCGCGCTTCAAAAGGTCTCCATTCAATTGCCGCCGGATTGTCTTGACCTGGAGAAGATGCGTGTGACCATGAGCGACATCCTCAGATCAGAATAGTCTAAAGTAGCACTGGACCAGTTCAAGTAGGAAAAAGCAGCTAAGATGAGGCGACGTCGAGACGAATTTTAACCGAACTTCTTCGTCATCGCAGACCTGGAGCAGAGACAACGCGACCTGAATATTTCGTTTCGACGCCCTGGTGGAGACCCAGGCGAAGAGAGAGCGACATCCCAGGAGGGAGCGAGGATTCCTGAATTGAGAAGAGCGAGCCTTCCACCGTGTAGAACACATCCTTATGGAGCTGCTAGAGGAGCATCCGGAAGCAAGCACAAGGTGGGAAAGGGAGAGACATGGCATCCGAGGGGAAACAATCGCCAAGCCCAAGAGTCGGAACGACTCTTCGTCCCCGACGGGCATGTAATGTACATGATGTTGTTGTTGTAACTGTTGTTTGTAATTTAGTTGTTGTATTGTTCAAATGTGTTGTTTTGCATTAAATTGTACTGTTGTAGTTTTCTTGTTCTCGGGTGCCATTACCCAGAAATGGAGGATGCCGCTGCCAATCGATAAAGCGGCCCCGCCCCTTTTAGCGCCTATATAAGGCCGGCGACCTGTTAATATGTGTTATTGTTGTTCTTGCAGTGGTAAGAAGGGGTGACCACTTAATAAAGTTTGATCGGCCGCGTCGAGTATGCCTCGCATACGACGGTGAAGGGGGACACGAGAACCTGACTGTGCGACTCAGTATGAATCAAGGACAAAATTCGACATTACATGACGGGTTGGGCATTTATAGGAACAATAGCGGTTGGGCAGTGTCACAGGTAAAACCCCTATTTTGCTTCCTGACGGCAAAGATGACAGAAAAAAGTGAGCATGTATTCAAATAGACGATACTTTCCAATAATGTGCATAACTGTACTTGATATCGTTAGTTTTGCTTCTTTCTCGAAGTTGTTAGGTGGGAATCTTTATTCTGGCCAACATTCCGGAGAACTCGCCGTTTTCAAAGGCCTGAAAGTGGTTCAAAACTTGTTGATTGCACACTATT